GGGAAGAAGGTTGAAGAGGTGAGGGAGGTGGGAAGAAGGTTGAAGAGGTATGCCACCTGTCTGCATGCCAGATTGTGGCATGCCAGGCTGTGGCATTCCTGCTTGTTGCATGCCAGGCTGCGGCATGCCAGTCTGTGGCATTCCTGGCTGTGGCATTCCTGTTTGTGCCATGCCAGTCTGTGGCATTCCTGTTTGTGCCATGCCAGTCTGCTGCATGCCAGTCTGTGGCATTCCTGCCTGTTGCATGCCTGCTTGTTGCATGCCTGCCTGTGGCATGCCAGGTACCATGGGCACCATTCCAGCCATCATCCCAGACATGGACATCATTGGTACAGGAACCATGCCTGAAAGAAGACATACGTGCGTCCAGTGTCTAAGCATTCCATATCAACCTTATCTCTTCAACCTTCCCACCTCCCTCGTCACAGCCTGGCATGCAGGCAGGCAGCATGCCACAATCTGGCATGCAGCAGCAGTCCATGATGGCAATGCGAGCCGGTAAGTTTTCGACTTCCTATTGTATCGAATTCCGTATTCGCGCCATTGTTTCTAGCGTGGGTGTGGAGTTTGTGAGATGCTACATGCAGCCTATTCGAGCGTTTCCTTGTATTAAAGTTATTGCAGAAATAATCCATTAATGTAATGTAAGGTGAGACCAAAACGAATGAAACCCTATTATTTTTCTAATTCGAATGGAACCGAATTTCAATCATGTTCTATCAAATCGAATTTTCTTTCATCCATCAAATCAAATTTTCTTGCACCCATCAGAATGAATATTCTCGCACCCATTAGAATCGAACTTAGTTGCATTTAATCGAATCAATTTTTTTGGGTATTTGCTGTAGTAATCAGTTAATTCAGACTAGTATTTGACCGGACGTAGTACGTACTAGTATTTGACCGGACGTAGTACGTACTAGTGTTGGACCAGACGTAGTACGTACTAGGATTTGACTGGACTTAGTACATATTAGGATTTGACCGGACATAGTACGTACTAGTGTTTGACTGGATTTAGTACATAGTACATACTAGGATTTGACCGGACGTAGTACATACTAGTGTTTGACTGGACTTGGTACGTACTAGTGTTTGACCGGACGTAGTACGTACTAGTATTTGACTGGACTTAGTACATACTAGGATTTGACCGGACGTAGTACGTACTAGTGTTTGACCGGACGTAGTACGTACTAGTATTTGACCGGACGTAGTACGTACTAGTATTTGACCGGACGTAGTACGTACTAGTGTTTGACCGGACGTAGTACGTACTAGTGTTTGACCGGACGTAGTACGTACTAGTGTTTGACCGGACG